AATTTGATAACCTATTGATTGACAATTTAATGAATAACTCATGTATATGTTCTTTATTTTATACTAATAACACATTTTCTTCTTGATTGACAATTTTCTTCCACCATGACTTACATGAATTAATTTATACAATGTAAGATGGCAAATAATAATGTTTGTAAGGTCAAATAGTAGTTAGGGTGTTATAAACTATCAATAACTATCATCATGTCATGAACTCCTCGGTATCTTATCCGCCATCTAATCTCAATTTTGTTGAAAAAACAAATTGTCCAATCTAGTTCTTTCTTGTGATTCCTATATATGTCGGAATACATGATCAAGATTAATCTTACAAATTGAAAACTGAATGAGACATAACTCTACAACTACTAATAAATTACGTGAATCTAACATCTCTTGGAATTTTGAATTGCACAAAGGATTTGAAACTTATATGTGTAGAGAAATCTAAACGGTTTTGGAATTCATTGCTAGTGTCATAGATGAAGAGTTGAACAAATTTTGGTATGTTCCTTTGAGTAGGTTTTAGGATACCGATCGATGATATACTTAACCTTCAATCGAATAAACATATACTCTGCGTCCATTATTTATAGATCAATCTAATTTACCTCCAAAATAGAAGTTAAGTGAAGACTTCATTATAACCTTGGACATGTTCCAAAAAGCAATGTCCATATGAGGTAATTGCTTGCAATAGCATACTCAAAACTTCTGGAGGTTGCCTTCGAGAAGGGAGGTTCACTTTGATTTGTGTGCAGTACAATGAAAACTTTGGTTGATTGAAATTTCCTGCCAAGTTTCCAGCAATGGAGGAAGGAGAAGCTACCAAAATGTGCACTCCCCCAAGCATGGATGAGATAAGAGTGATTGTGAGAAGTATGAATGGGCTCAAGGCACTAGGCAAGGATGGCTACTAGACCATCTTCTTCCAGAAATGTTGGGGCCAAATTGGGGAAGACCTCTCTAACTTTATCTCCTCCTGCTTTCTTGTTCATTCTAATATTAGATTGGTTAACCAAACTCTACTTGCCCTTATACCTAAGACTGAGTCCCCTACCTCAATGAACCAGTTTAGGCTTATTAGTCTTTGCAATGTAGGGTATAAAATTGTTGCTAAATACCTTGCTAACAAGCTTAAGGGTCCGATGCCCACTCTAGTGCACCACAACCAGTCAAGCTTTGTTCCTTATAGTAGGCAAATTACTGACAACATCATTATTCTGCAGGAGACAGTTCATTCCATGGCAAGAAATACTGGGAAAAAGGAGTTATGCTTTTAAAAGTGGATCTTTCCAAGGCTTACGATAGGATTGACTGGAGCTTCTTGGAACAAACCCTCCACAGTGCAGGGCTTCCAGGAATCTTTGTCATAATGGTTATGGAATGTGTAACAACCACTGAGATGCAAGTTCTGTGGAATGGAGGGGAAATTGAGAGCTTCAATCCAGCCAGAGGCCTTCGTCAAGGATGCCCTCTCCCCCCTTACTTATTTACTCTTTGTGTTGAAAGACTTAGCCACTGCATTTTTCATGAAGTGAATGTTAAAAACTCGGAACCTGTGAAACTGCCAGCTAATAGTTCTACCCTTTCCTACTTATTCTTTGTGGATGACTTAGTTCTTTTTGTTGGAGCTTCCTGTTTGCAAGCTGAGGTTGTTCTGAGATGCTTGGATTCTTTTTGTCTTGCTTCAGGGGAGCTAGTTAGTAAAGAGAAATCTAGGGTCTTTTTCCCTAATAATGTTAGATGTTGTGAAAGGAAGATTATTTGTGATAAATTGGGAATCCAATCTACCCCTGATCTAGGGAAGTACCTTGGGGTCCCTGTTTTGCATGGTAGATTGTCTAGGAATACTTATAATTACATCCTAGAGAGGATGGATAGGAAGCTTTCCTCGTGGAAGGAAAGATCCCTCTCATTGGCAGGGAGGGTGACTCTTGCCACCTCTGTCCTTAGCTCCATTCCCTCTTATGTTATGCAAACATCTATGCTCCCTCTTTTAATTTGTTATTTAATTGACCAAAAAATCAGAGGCTTGTCTAGGTTTCGGTTGAGGGTAAAAAGAAAGTGCATCTGCTTTCATGGGACTCTATGTGTAAGCCTAAAGACAAGGGGGGCTTGGCCTTAGATCTGCTAGGAGTTTGAACTTAGCATACATGGTTAAGCTTGCTTGGAATCTGTTTAACAATGAACAAGATCTGTGGGTTAAAGTGCTACAAGGAAAATACTTTCATCATAAGAATGACATTTTAACAAAAATGAAGAGTAGTAACCATTCTAGTCTTTGGAAGGGAATTATGAAAGTTATGCCCTACATGAAACAGGCCACCCAATGGAGTGGCAGGAATGGGGAAACAACTGTGTTCTGGACCCACCCCCTGGGTGGAGAATGGCTTGATCCTGGAGGAGTTTGCACTGAAAGAGCTTACCAAGGAAGAACTAAGTGCATCAGTCTCACGCTAGGCTGATGCTTCAGGTGAGTGCGACTGGGATAGAATGAGGTTATACCTCCCTAACGAGATAATCTCTCTTATTGTAGGGACATATGCGCCTAATATTGTGCTGGGAGAGGATCGAACAGTCTGGGGAATCGATAAGGATGGCAGGTTCAAGCTCAAGTCAGCCTACTCACTGGTGGCTGGGGAAGTGTACAACACGCCAATTGATGCATGGAAAGAATTGTGGAGATGGAAGGGTCTGAGCCGTATCAAGCATTTCATGTGGTTGGCAAACCACAATAGGCTACTGACAAAAAAGGAAAGAAAAAAGAGAAAGCTTACTGAGATGGAATGTGCAACCACTGCAGAACAAAGGAAGAAACAACAGAGCATATTCTCCGAAAATGTGGAAAAACTGTTGGACTTTGGAGACACTTCAGAAATAAGCTTAAGGTGAATGACAACAGAATAGACTTTCAGACATGGTTGATTAAGAACATGATAAATCAGCAGACATGAATTGATTTTGGCATAATATGCTGGAACTTGTGGAAACAAAGAAATGAAGAAGCAATGGATGACAAGACTTACTCGGAAGAGGGTTTGATTCAGAGGGTGAATGCTTGGATCAACATTAACAACCAAGCCCGGATCAATGCTGAGAAATGCCTTGCACCTGTGTACAAGACCAAATCCAGAATTGAGATTGCATGAAAACCTCCAAAAGAAGGCTGGGTTCAGGTTCAAACTGATGGATCAGTTGTCCAATCTTCTGGTCATGCTGCTGCAGGGGGCCTCGTTCGAGACCACCTTGGAAGATGCCTGGGGGCGTTTGCAAGCAATCTTGGGAGGTGTACCATTACTCGAGCTGAACTAAAAGGAGTCGTGGAAGGGCTGGAAATGGCCTGGCAGCTTGGTCACAGAAGAGTGGAGCTCAACCTTGACTCTACTACTGTGATTTCCATTATTAAGGATAGGAGTAATAGTGGTCACTGTCATGGTCACTTTGCTAAGCTCAGCCTTGACTCTACTACTGCGGCTTCCAAGGGGAACTCCCTTACTTTTGGCACACATCCGTTCGATGTGAGCGACCCGAACTTGTACTACTGGCTTTTGTACGATAACATGGGAGTTTCCATGTGTCGTGATGTTAATGATATGATTTAGGACGCTTTAGCGTCTGTCTTCTACTAAAAAAAATTCCTTGTAGGTTAGGTACATTCACCCTTTCACATCATTGCTCCACAATATTCACATTTATACGATGGGTTTCCAATATCAAATACATCAACAACTACAATAAAATTAAAACTCCAACATAAAAATACATTTGATAAAAATTCGAAGACCAAACAATACTATAAATATAAATTGAAAACAAACATGAAATCAATGGATTACCGTTAGGAATGTTGATAATTTTTATATATATACGATTTGGGGTTATATAAATGAAATAAATGGATTACCGGTACGAATGATGATAATTTTTACATATATACAATTTTACGTTATATAAAGCACACATTTTCTTCTTGCTAATTTTTTTAATGGTAGATTAATTCTCTTAAGTTCCAATTTTTCCAAGGCATCGAACTGCAAAAAAATAATAAATAATAATAATATAAAAAAGCATCTTTTATTAATCAACCATTCAAGGTAATAACTAATAATAATAATAAAAAGCATCTTTTATTAATCAACCATTCAAGGTAATAACTAATAATAATATAAAAAAGCATCTTTGATTAACCAACCATTCTTAATCTTGAAAATTGAATTTAACTATCCATCCAAGTGGTGGAGCTAGGTTGAACCTAGAAGGGGCTATAATTCACATCAACATCGAAATATAATAGTCAGTAAGGCTTTAACTCACCCTCCTTAATTACCAAATTTTGAATCAACACTCTTCGTTCAAATTTCTGGCCCTATCACTGACCATCCTATTCATGTGACCGTAAAAATATAAAGAATGAACTATAATCAAAAGTTTAACCATGGCTTATTATCTTTTATAGTACCAGGGCAATTACAATTGGGTGGTTAGTAGGAAAAGCAGCATATAGCATTTCAACAACAACAAAATAGCTACAAAATAATTCGCTAATTTTAGTCTTAGAAATATTCGTGCATTCATCATTCTCGCTAAATAGTCTAATAATAAGAAGAACAAAGCTCAAATTAGCCAAAATTCCCACACCATCCAACTTCATCATTTATCAAATAAATTACCAAAATTCTTGCACAGACTGCCTTACGTATATCGAAGGAAGCCTCACAGATATCCACAGTCAACCATACCCGGACACATTTTGGGAAAAAAAGGAGATCAAACAAAAGGGTTGTAATACCAGCACCTGGAAACGCCGTTCTCAAGGTTCATTCCTTCGTCTCGCTTCTTTTCATTTCATGATTAAGTATATTCGATACCTACTGCTATGTTCTGTAACATTAAATTGCTACCTTATACCAATCGCTAACTTAATCCACATAATCCAATTAGTGTCTTCTTATCATTTTGGTTTTGATGTGGGGTATATACAACAGACTAATTAAATGGGTGGGACAGAAGAGTCAGAGAAGAAACATGATAGCGAAGAGGAGCACAAGGAAAAACATAACAAGGAGGATGAGAATGACCACCAGCAGGATGAGGAGGGAAAGAAGAAAAAGAAGAAGAAAGACAAAGAAGGTAAAGATAAGGATAAGGAAGAAGATGGTGATGGGCACGAAGAGAAGAAGAAGAAGAATCCTGAAGATAAGAAGGATTCTTCGAAGCTCAAGGCCAAGCTCCAAAAAATAGAGACCAAGATGCAGGAACTGGCCCTCAAGAAGGAAGAGATCCTCAAGCTTATCCATGAAGCTGAAACTAACCCTAATCCTGCACCCCCAACCGAGGATCACTAAATCTTAACATGATGTATTATAGCAATGTTTTTAATCAACTCATAATAAACTTGTACTAATTAATCAATTCCCAGATCTCACCCCTACAAACTGCAGATAATATTGGTGGGGCAAACCTAGCTAGACTTGCATGTAAAGTGCGTCTTATGTATATGTATGAATCCGTCACTCATCTGCATGTAAGTTTCCTTCTTTTTTTTTTTTTTGTAATTGTAGAGATAAATCAAGAATCAATACTATGGAAAGATGATTTCAAGATATTTTCCTGCCAAGTTGAAACTTGTGGATATTCTTACTTGTTGACGTATCGATTTTGACGGTAAGAAAAGAATGTTGGATGATCGTAGATTTGTGAGTCTGAATATATGATTGTCACCTGCAAACATAACTTGGTGAACAAATATGAACAAACTATACATTTCATGATGCATATTGTCAAATAATTAATGACAAACATTCTTTAATCATCGTGAAAATTGATAGATTGATACATAAAAAATATGGTTTTAGGTTACTATTGATTAAGAGGTTATTTTGTAAATAACGATAAGTTCAATGGTATTAATCATGTGGGCCCATTTTAGGTTTATATTTTTACTTATGTTTTCAATCTTATCTTTTGTTTTCTACCAACAATTTTTTTGTTTTCTTTTATTTCTCACATAATATATGTTACTATTCATTAAACATATTTTTGTGTTGTTGTCATGAAATTCATTTATATGTTCTTATTTGGTTTTATATCATTAGCTGTCTCTCTCGCTTGGACTAAAATTCTTATATAAAAGTCGTAGTTTAGGGTAACTATTCATTAAGTGAATTTTTTTGTAATTCATTCAAACTTTAAGGTCAATTTTCATTTGGTCCAAAAAAACTCTAATCCCTTTAATTTGTTGACCAAATCTCCATCACCATTTAATTGTTGACCAACTTTTCACTACCTAGAGCAGATCAACAAATTCACAGATATCAATCGATCACATGTATTGCAATTACGTATATTTTGACAATTTTTTTTTATTACTGAATTTCTTTGATTGACAAGTGTTTTGTTTTATTTTTTCCCACTTTTCAGCTAGAGAGTGGCTAATGATGCGTATTTCGATCATGTGTATTCCGGCAATGCATTTTTCTTACCCGAATTGGTATATTAAAGTCTTGGTTTAGGGTTTCATTAATTATTTTTTAATTCTTTCAAACTTACAAGATAATTTCATTTACAGTCCGTTTTGGTACCAAATCAACCGGAGAATTCATTTCATTTTAAAATGAATAACTGTGTAGAATTCATTGCCAAATGAATTCTTGTGTTTGGTATGTCATGTTCAAATATTTAGAAATGAAATGAATTGAATTCTCAAATCATGTTCGGCTACATTTGAAATTAAATTAAATTAAAAGTTTCCAACTACGCCCTTATTAATTTCCATCAAATCAAAATAATATATAGCTCTCAATATGTGGAGGATCAGTACATGGTTCCATTATTGCAATCACGAGAATGGACGTGTGCAGGGTCTATTGCATATTTTTAAGCTATATCTGTTAGAATTAATTTTAAGGGATGTAATTTCCCGGAATTCACCTCGTCAGATTATCAAAGGTTTGTAGAAATACCTGGAACCGTGTTGTTGATCGCCAAGAGCTTGATGCGGAATCTAGAAGACGATCTACAGCCGGACGATACTTTTTGGAGCACGATCCGGGAGGTTATGTGATCTTCCTCAACCAAGCCTCCTTAGCCCACTAACGGGAATCCTGTGATCTTCCTGATGGGGAGAAGAATAGAGTATTTAGTCTTGGTGTATTGGGGATCACAACCTCAAGCTCCTTTATATACTAGTCATCATGGGCTCCCATAAGATCCAAGGTGAACAAGTATTGGGTTTCCACCCATTTAGGCTCATATCAATACAAGACATCTTTGGGCTCCTGATTTGGATCACTTACAATTAGCCCACTAAAACAAATAGCTTTATAATTGTCAAATATGTGGTCCATAACATTATAGGAAATAGAATTTCCTAACAATCTCCCACTTGGGCTACATATTTTTTCTTGAAACAATTATATCACAAATTCTTTAGGCGCGCAACCGTATGCTATTTGTACTTAGACATCTCCTAAAACAATCTGGTCCACCTCATGTATCAAATATGGAACCAACGCGGCTTTAATCACGATATGATAATGACTAAACCACCATGATCAACATACCAATACACTCAATGACATAGATCAAATATGGATGAGTGGCATGAAAATTACATGCAATGTGATCTTGTACATGCCTATTTTCAACTGGTCCTACTTTAGTCCTTAGTGAGATCAACTTAAAATTCCTTCATACAGTGTGACCACTGTATAACTGAAGGGACTTTAAATTCCAAAATAGACTCTAGAAAACCATCACTTTATTCTGCAGAATTGATTTAGTCGTAATCTATTGAACTACTTAAATGACTCCCACTAAGCCAAGGTATCATCCGGAATAACACTCATGAGAGCAATATGCTCATGGAAAAACTTTATGTGTCAAACCATTGGCTAATGGATAAGCTAGCATTGGTCATTTCCTTAATGTTCAATAGAAACTTGTCTATTTTGAACTTTATCTTTAACCACCAGGAACTTGATGTCAATATATTTGACTTCTGGAATCCATGGTAATGATAGTGTATCACTATCAAATTATTGTCACTATTAACCTTTAATAACTTACCAATGTCATTCTAGTGACAAAAAATTTGCAACCATAATAGGAAGTCTCAATATATGCTTTGAACTCTACCCAACAATGAAGGGTAACCTGATGTAGAGTTTATGCTATCTTGACATCCTGTAACATCAGAGTCAGAGTACTTGATGATCTCTAAATTATCTGATATCTAACACATTTGCATGAATTCTTTTAGGTTTAATACACTTGTATATCCAAAACTTTCACGATTGTGCCAATAATATCCAAATTTCCCGAAATACCACTTATATCCATATTTAAAGTTCTTCTTTGCCAAATCTATCCATTTTCCAATATTTCCCAAAAACACCATTAAAGAATGTGAAGGAATTGGATATAAGTGGTATTTTGGGAAATTTGGATATTATTGGCACAACCGTGAAAGTTTTGGATATACAAGTGTATTTAACCATTCTTTTATCAACTTTAGTAAACGCGTTACACGTTTGAATCCTTCTAGTGTTTCATGCATAGATCAATCAAATATCTGCCAAAGACTCTTTACTAGAAATGCTTTATTGGGATGAGAATAAACTAAAGTATACATTAGGTCTTTAATGCAAATATGCATTCAAGAGATTGTGTATCTTAATTTCTTATATATAATTGGGGCACTGATTGAGACCAAAACTGTCTCCCTTAGCTACAACACATCTCCTGGTTCACTAACTTATTCTACTTTCACCTTAAGTAGAACAACCATGATGTATAAAACAGGAAAAAGAATTTACTCCCACTGAACTTAAGATATACACGATCATCTCCAACATTAGTCTCTAAATCTGAATGAGTTAATAACATGATAAAAAAATTGTGATATCAATAATGAGATGCTTATATGAGCCAACATTGTCATTATATTCCTTAAAGAGTTTCAAATATACCAGAGAGAAAGTCTCTTTGAGCCAACACTTTCCTTATTAGTAAAGCATTTGAGACCAACATGCCTTATATCTCTTATTGACTTCACCACATGGCATCAATCCACTTTTCATAACTGTTCATGACTTGACTAAAATTGAATCATTAGTCAACCTGATGTCATGTATATATTCTTTGAAGAACAACGATATTGTTAGCTAGAATCGTCCATCTTCTACTTTGTGGATATACTTAATGGCACTTCTTGAGAGTGTTGAGTTTGTGTGGTAACAATATTCCTTATGTTTCCTTCCCCCCAAAACTCAAAATACTCAAGAAATCTCACATTTCTCATTTAAAAAACTTCTTGAGGTGGGATTATAAAACTTGTAGCCTCGAGAGTACTATTGAGTAGCCAACAAAGTATAACTTAATTCTTTGGTCCATTATACCTTCTTGTACCTTACAAGGTATTTCCTAAGTTGGAAAACCCTAAATGTGCAAGGTCCTTATTGCACTTATTGGTTACATTAACTACCTTCTGGATACTCAATTTAAGGATGTATGTTGTAACCTTTATGGCTTTTATCCAAATGGAGTCTAGTAAGTAGAAATACTCTTCACCATGTCCTTAAGAGTTCAACGAAACCATAACATCCTTAACTCTCTATTTGTTCCTCTACTGAGAATTTGAGGTTTAGTGATTGAGTTCAGTCTCATCTCGTATCTTCCCTCCTATACTTTTGTGAATATTAGTACTCACCAAAAAACTTCATGGAGGAAGATAAATTAAACCAAGTGTTGAGTATGTCTTTTGACACCTCCAAAATATAATACACTTGTACATTTTTCCTTTACACTTTATGGATTAAATTACCCCAATAGGCAGCTTACCACGGATCCTGTTATGTTTTGGCAAAATACTGTATTATTACTTCAATAAACTTCAGAGGCATCTCAGTATAATAGCCCCATAATTATTCATCGAATAGAGCGCTTAATGATCATCATGCACACTGAACTGGATATATCTCCATTCGCTATTATTAAATCTCATTGAGATTTTCCGAAGTAGAATAGGGATTGGTCCACATAAAAACGCAAGATCAATGCCTATATATTGAGAATCATTGTCTTCAATTTACTTTAAATTCTTTAGATTCATCCCATTTAACAGAAGAGTTAACTTTAATTTCGACAGAAATATTTAAACCAAAGCACGAAAAACGATATTGAGATAAAAGAAAACACACATCAAGCCATGTAATTAAACGAGACAAGAAATTTATCCAATTTTGGGGAACCCATCATAAGATACCAAATGCAACATTAATTCTTAGTCTTTGGACAGAGAAATTAACTGCGAGCGGTACTCTTAATACAATGATCAAATACTGAT